CCAGTGAGTGCTGCAGGGAGCTGTTGGATACGGTAGATAACTATGCAGTGCTCCAGCTGGACATAGTGTGGTGTTACTTCCGCTTGGAACAACTGGAATGCCTTGACGATGCAGAAAAGAAACTAAACTTGGCTCAGAAATGCTTCAAAAATTGTTACGGAGAAAACCATCAGAGGCTGGTCCACATAAAAGTATGTTACTGTACTTTGTTTATGTATCGTTGAGACCATGTCTAGAACTTGAGCTGCATTCCTGTTCAATATTCCTGGTGGAGATGGCCGCCAAAAGGCGATTTGATGGTCGCATGCATGGTGCTCGTTTTATGCGCTTTTTCGGTGGGGTGGTTAAATGTTCTGCAAGGTGGGCTGCTCAGTGTGTAGCCAGAGGAACACAGTTTTCCAGCCACAAAACCCCCGCTGATGGTCACCCCGACCAAGAGAGCTTGGTGACTGTGTTCAGTAGAGTCTCGTGGAAGATTTAAATGCAGGAAAAAAAATAGACATTTTGAATGGTAACAGTTCCCACGAGTGAGTCACAGCTCAAGAACTGTGATTTGAATAGGATTTTTCTAAGGTGATTTCCACAGGTCAGCAGAATTCTGCTTGGAAATCTCAGGGCAGCATAAAACCTCCCTGGTTTGGGTTTTTGTGCACTTCCTTCCCCTCCAGGAGGAATAAACGTTTTCGTTACGCTGTTTTGCCCCTGTGGGGATGAAAGGGATTACAAGGGTGAACATTGCAGCTCTGTAATTAGAAACAAGACCATTTTATTCTTTTTTCTTCCCCAATAATTTTAGGGGAACTGTGGGAAAGAGAAGGTGCTGTTTTTAAGACTTTACTTGCTTCAAGGTATCCGAAATTATCACAGTGGAAACGGTGAAGAGGCTCGTGAGTATCTCAACAAGGTAAGAAAGTGAATACTCCAAAGTGGTAACTGTTTTCACCTACCTTTTTTTTTTTTTCATCCCCCAAAGTTAAGTATTTCATAAACTCAGCAGTTTGTGACTTGTAAAGGACATGCATGTATCTCCCGTGTTCTCTGCCTCGTACATACCACAAACATACTTGTATCCGTTAGGGTGTAGGTGAGATGCTGTGATAAGGAAACCTCAACAAGACAGTGGCTGTAATTGGCTAGAAGTTTCCATGCCTGTCTGCCATCTGGCAGTGGAGAGGTGAGCAGGCGGGGTCAGTAGAGCAGCTCCGCCAGCCTGTGTGCGGCAGCCAAGGATGCTCCTGTCAGTCCCCTTCCAGCCAGCAGAGGGGGCAAGAGAGAGTCCAGGGCGGCCTCGGGAAGGGCCGGAAGTTGGGGCTGTCACTCCTGCTACGTGCCCCTGGCCGGGACTTAACCCCCTGGCTACACCCAGTTGCAGGGGGGGGGGGTGAGAAATGCCATGTGCACAGCTCCAGTTCAGGGGATTTGATTACATAAACGGGGGAGATAGTGGATACCGGCCCTTCCCATGATACTCCAGAGGCCTGTTGCCTTCTGTTACATTATGATACATCACATGCACAGTGTGGGATCTGTAGGGATCTGTAGAGATCTGTATTCTACTCGAGCTAGTTGATGACAGGTAGAGTTGAAGAGTTTTTATCTAAAATCTGACACAGCCCTCAATCACATAGGGTACAAGCTAATTTCTTTCAGGCTTTAGCCTTGTGTTCAGCTTTAATGTTGTTATAGTTAATGATTCGTGTATTTTTTCCTTGTCTGCAGGCACGTCAACTCTTTAAAGAGCTATATATTGATCCATCAAAAGTTCACGATTTGTTGCAGTTGGGATTTACTGCCCAGGAGGCCCGGCTTGGCCTGAGGGCATGTGACGGGAACGTGGACCACGCGGCTGCCCACATTACCAACCGCAGAGAGGTACCTTAACGTGGTCTTGGCGACACTGGGGCTCACCTTTGCGTAGGTGTGAAACTCGAGGCAATAGTAAGCCTGTTTCCAAAACGCTATAGCTCTTGGATTAGAAGGAAGAGAAAAAGATTATTCCATGGTAGTTATTAACAACAAGGAGCTCTTTATACTTCAGACTGGGAAGAAACAGGAAACTTGTCTCATTTAATTGAATTCATCTTCAGGCAGCGTGGTTTCCTCAGTTTTATTTTCTGCTGCGGCGGCAGTAGCTCCTAAGTGCGTTGTCCAGGTAGCCTGTCTGTGCGGGTCTTTGCTCTCTTTCTCTCTCTTTGCTTACCATGGTAGATTCCGGAAACCAGTTTAAAGGGGGGCTTTGTTTTCCCTTGGAGCCGTAGCTGTAGTTTGGGATGGCATTCTTAGCTGGAAACGTGAGTCAAGTCATAGGAGCAATTAACATTATGAAGGCGAAGGGACAAAACTATAATCATTTGGAACAATTATAAATAAGTAGATTTTCGGGGGCACCTGGATGGCTCAGTGGGTTAAGCATCCAACTCTTGACCGGCTCAGCTCATGATCTCACGGTCTGTGGGTTCGAGCCCCACATCTGTCAGTGCAGAGCCTGCTCGGGATTCTCTGCCTCCCCCGCTGTCTGCCCATCGTCCACTTTCTCCCTCTCTCTCTCAAAATAAACATTAACAAAAATAATTAAGTAGATTTTGGAGCTGGAGGGCATGTTACCATATCTAATATGCTAGTTTTCAGTAAAAGAGTATTTGGTCGGGAAAGCCCAGTGTGGTCCCTGGCCTGCCTGGTGCTGGAGCAGGAGTGGATCCGTGGGCCAGTTACACAGCAGCCAGTCTGAAGGGCTGTTTTGGGTTCACCTTTTAAGACCCCAGCTGGTAGCTACTTTTCTGTCTGCTGGTCTGCCCGACTGCCCTCCTGATCGTGGTCCGTTGGGTCTTGCTGTAGAAGTCAGTGAGTGGGTAAAGGCAGAGACTTGGAAAAGCTAAGTTTTGTGTGTTTTTGCATTTCACACAGTCTTATTCAGTACTAGGGCGCCTGGCTGGCTCGGTCGGTAGGGTGTGCAGCTCTTGATCTCAGGGTCGTGAGTTCAAGCCCCACATTGGGGATAAGGCTTAAAAGTAGATGAATAAATAAACAAGTTCAGTACTAGGAGAAAAGCAAGCATTGCTGAGACTGCATTTGTTAATTTTGATTGTAAGATTTCACTAGCATTTGGAAAGCCAGCATTTTAAAATGAGACACTGAAAAATATTTCTCATAATCTTTCCTTACATTTGTATGTACTTTAGAGTTTATAAAAAACATTCTCAGGGTCATGACGTCATTCAGTTCTGCCTGTGATCGCCCGAGGCCGCTGGGGCAGATAATTATCAGTTTTACAGATGAGGAAAATGGGGCTCAGCGGTTGACGTTTCTGGGGTTGTGGGTCAAATCAGTGGTAAAACCTGAACTAAGACTCTGGTTTTCTCATGCACTTTTCACGCCCATCTGACAGCAGCATTCTGATGAGTTTTTACCAAAGGTTCTGAAAAGCCAAGAGATACTGTGAGGGGGCAAAAATGACCACTTCCTGACTTTATAAGTAGCAAAAATAAATGTTAAAGAACAGTGGAGTCCTGCCGTAGTGCATTTACTGAACCAAGTCCTAAGCCCTTGGAGAAAATCAAGGGCAAGATGGTGTATGCAGAGCGGTTGACCCGGTTCACTCTTGGACCCGGTAGACATGTATCAGGGTGCTTTGGGTTGAGAGCAGTAAAAACCCCAATCCAAACTGGCTTAAACTCTGGGCAGGAAATTACTGGCCTGCTTCGCTGCTCAGAGGCAGCATGAGTCTCCCTCAGGTTAGTTGGGCCAGTGGCTTCCCCCCGGGGCGGAGAGCTTGGCTTCCGGGTCTGTCCACTGTCTGTAGTGAGGGTCCTCTCCTCACCCCAGGAGCTCGGTCTGCGCTTCAGAATCATCTGAGCAACCCCGAGCTGCTTGCTGACTGGCTGCCTTCTAAGCAGTCACTGTGGGGGCGGAGGAGGGAAGACACTCGAACCCCCCCCCCCCACAGCCCTCCTGGGGCCTCCCCGGGGCTTGTCCCGAGTACAGGCTGATCCCCCTTCGGGCCAAAGCAGCAGACACCGAGGTGGCCGCAGTGCTGAAGGGCTGGGCGGCAGGGAGAGGCGGATGTCCCCGTTCCCCCGAGCCCGCTCCGCATGGGAGGCTGGGCTGGGTACCCGGCACACGGTGCAGTGCCCACTGTCCTCCGGTTGGTCTGCTTTGTGTCTCTGGTTTCTAGTATAAAGAGAAACGTCAGAAAAGATTGTGTATCCTCTTGTGTACCGACACGAATAAGAGCTGGTGTAGACATTTGTAATTAAACAGAACTCCGTGAGGCTCCAACTCAGTCTCAGGTCTGTGTGACGTGAGCCCCGTGTCTCCCGGCTGGCTGCGTCTTGCTCTGGGTTCCAACGCCACGCACGTTTCTTAGCCCCCCCCCCTTTTTTTTAATGTTTATTTATTTTTGAGACAGAGACAGAGCATGAATGGGGGAGGGTCAGAGAGAGAGGGAGACACAGAAGCAGAAGCGGGCTCCAGGTTCCAAGCTGTCAGCACAGAGCCCGACGCAGGGCTCGAACTCACGGACTGTGAGATCATGACCTGAGCCGAAGTCGAAGGCCCAACCGACTGAGCCACCCAGGCGCCCCTTCTTAGCCCTTTGAAATACGAGTGGAAGAAGCCGAAATCGGAAGCGGTGATGGGCAGGGTGAAGGCAGCTTGGGCGGGGGGGAGGTGCGAACAAAGGTGGAAACGTAAGGGCCACGGAATCGCTCTGCTGGCCATGTGGCTGTGGTGCCGGCAGGATGGGGGCAGCTTGGGGGCGTGGGGGCCGGGGGGCGAGGAAGGGGCACCGGCACCTGATCGGGTGGGACTCGGGGCAGGGGTGAGATGGCCCGGCCTCGGCCTGTGCGGGGTGCCGCGGCAGTGCTGGGGTGGGGGACTCACAACAGATGAACCCAGGTGAAGGGGGCTGGCCCGCCGCGATGCTCCTGGTGATGCAGGTGCCTACCGGCACCTTGTCCGCTTTGAAACAGGAATTTAGGGGGCGCCTGGGTGGCGCAGTCGGTTGGGCGCCCGACTTCAGCCAGGTCACGATCTCGCGGCCTGCGAGTTCGAGCCCCGCGTCGGGCTCTGGGCTGATGGCTCGGAGCCTGGAGCCTGTTTCCGATTCTGTGTCTCCCTCTCTCTCTGCCCCTCCCCCGTTCATGCTCTGTCTCTCTCTGTCCCAAAAATAAATAAACGTTGAAACAGGAATTTAGTCTAAGAACGCCTTCGTCCCCGGGGGTGTTTGGGGGAGTCACTCGGTTCTGTGAGTCCTCCTGCTGACTCTGCGGGAATTTCTGGCTGCGCCGTGAGGACTCCTTTCTTCCTAAGAGATGAGGCCACGGCCCCCCCGTGTGCAAGAAGATGGAGGGCACTTGGTGCTTGGGGTGAGCCACGGAGGTAGGAACAGACCTAACAGAGGAGAGAGAGCCATCTTCTCCGCTGTTCTCTCTGTGTCGGGTGAGAACTGGCCATGTCCAGAATTGTGCAGAAGCCCTCACCCCAGCTCTGCAGTCAACTGTGACCTTGGTCCGCAGGCCACTTAACTTTCTTTAGAGATTTTCTGTCTTCTCATTGGCAAAATGATGAGGTTGGATTAAACTAGTGCTTTTCAGAGTTGTTTTAGCTTGTTTTGTTTTCTGTCAGCAAAATCCGTTTTTTAAAAATTACATTTGTTTTCAAAAATTCTGAACTCTCTTCTGTGGGGCTGGGATGGGAGAGAAGAGGCTAGAACTCTCCACAGCCCTTCTCAGACTCTCGCGGCAACAGTAGGCACTTACGAGACCCGGGGTCAAGAACTGTGGGACTAGATGACCTTTGTCACCTAACATTGACCATTCTGGAGGTTTTAAATAGGCTAATAGGCCCTAGGAGGCATCTGAGTCCCTGCTGCCTGGAGTGGGGTGGGTCGGGTCTGCAGCTCTGCGGTCACCTGGGACACTGCCCCCAACCCCCATTCAGAGTCCACCATTTTAACAAGATCCCCGGGGATTAATGAGGGGCCAGGAAGTACCACCCCCCCCCCCAGCCCCCCAGAGAGGGTCCATCCGCTTCTCTGGCCTGGCGGCGATGAGTTCCCTGGTTCCGAGTGGCCTGTTCTGGTCGGGATGGCGGTGACTAAGAAGCACTGTCTTCCGGGCCTGGAGGGAGGTCTCTACCCCCACGGGCCCTGCCCCAGGGACAGCGCGTGCCCCCTGCCCTTGCAACCCTCATGCTCTTGCTTGGGTGAGACGTGCGGAGCGGTTCACTCCCCTTTTGTTACTCGCTTGGCCCGTCGACCCCAAGAATCCTACAGAGCATACCGAGAGGTCTCCCTACGGAATCCCAGTCCCCAACTCGGTGACTTTGCTGTTTTCCTAAAGGAATTGGCCCAAATAAGGAAAGAGGAAAAAGAGAAGAAAAGACGCCGGCTGGAGAACATAAACTCTTTGAAAGGAATGGGCTACTCTACTCACGCGGCCAAGCAGGCCCTGCATCAGGCCAGCGGGAACCTGGACGAAGCCCTGAAGGTAGTGCGTCCCCCGGGGCCTCTCGGCCTGCCCTGAGTGCCCCTGGTGTGGCCGCGGGGCCCCTTCTTCCCCTGACCTCCTCTCCCGTGTCCCCTGCGGCACACGGAGCCCCCCTCCCAGGGCCTTTGTCCCCAGTCCTGGTATGGATCTCAGGGTCCGTTCTCGTTCTCGGACCCAGTGACGGGGCCAGAAGGACAGACCCCACCTCGGTGCCCGCCCGCTGTTGAGCAGCGTCCGTGGGGCAGAACTCTGCGTGAGGTTTCTGTTGGCAGCACCAGGGGTTGGCAGGGACGCAGGAAGGGGACGGTGATGAAAGTTGCGGTATAGTTTTCTTTTCATTAAAACGTTTTATTTGAATATCGTGTTGTTTCTTGATGCAGTCAGTACACGCTGACCTCAGGGAGCACAGAGTGTTGGGGAGACAGAACACAGCGGAGCGCGGCCGCCGTGTGCGAGCACAGCACGTCGGGGGCGGGGCTGCAGCTGCGTTGTGGGGGATCACGCCCCCGGGGGGCGCCTCTACGGCAGACGTGGGGCACGCTGAGGGGAGCGGGAGCCCCGGGGAGCTGCCGGGGTTGTGCCTGCCGGAGGCTGAGGCCGGGAGGGCGGGCGTCACCTTGTCGCCCTGCCGAGGGGTTCCTGCTGGAGCCTGCCCTGCCCTTGCCTTTTATTCTCAAGACCTCCTGTCCGTTCCCCAGAGGTTTCCACAAGTAAATGTTTACCTATATATTATATAATATAAATATATTATATAAATAAGTATATATGTAAATATATATAAATATACGTACAAAGACGTATATACGCGTAAATATATATATATATATTATACACACATTGATAAACGAATTTGAATATCTAGTTTGGCTTCTCGCATTGGAGAACTAGAAAAGGCGGGGAATTCTGAATGTGTGCAGGACCGGTGGGGCACCACGGCAGGTTTGAACTGCACCAAGTCGTGCATCGATGCCACCAGTACGGAAGTGTTTAGAGGCAAAATTCCCAACGGGGCTTTTTTAGGGCTGAGTAAGCACCGTGTGATAGGAAAATCAGGGGTCAAAAGAACTCTTGCGCTCGTCTCGACGACATGCGAGATCTAGCTCGTTGACGCTTTCCAAAGAGAAATTACATTGGTTGGCCCTGCACTGCCTGAGAAGCACTGGCGTGTGTAGCCTTTTGTGGCCTGTCGCCCCGGAGGCTGAGCCCTAACGCAGCTGGGGTTGCCTTGGTAGCTTCCCACCCGGGCGCTCTCGTGCCTTCCTGGGTCCTCAGAAGGGATCTTTTGGTCTGGCTAACCTTGCTTATGCTGCAGATGTTACCTGGGGCAGGAAGCTTTTGAACACCAGCATCCCCGCCCCGCCCCATGTCTGCGTTCGGGGCCCCCTTTCTCTGCTTTCTCAGCACCCTTTGCCTGGTCCCCCCGCGGCGTCCTGAACTTGCATGTTGGGGTGTCCCCTGGTCGTGTCTGCCTAGCACAGAATAGGTGGTTTGTCTAAGTGAGCAGGTGTTCGTGATGAGTAAAGCATGTCCCTGTGTGTTTGTAGATTCTTCTCAGCAATCCTCAGATGTGGTGGCTGAATGATTCAGATCCCGAAACCAACAACCATCAAGAAAGTCCTTCCCAGGAAAACATCGACCAAGTAAGTCAGGATGGATCCGCGTCCCTCCGCTTGCACAGCCTTGCGTGGGATTGCCTAGGGTGACGAGGTTGGCGGCAGGACGGGGCTCCAGGCGTGACTCAGGCCCACCCCAGGAGGCCAGCCAGGCACGCAGCAGTTGCAGCGGGTGGAAGTGGAGTAGAAGGCATTTCCTTCAAGAACAGGACGTCAGAAAGCAACTGGAAGTTCTTAGGCTTTTCTCCTTGTGTGTGCATACAGTACTTTACACACCAGACACGCTTCTTTCAGCCCGGTTCTCTGCCTGTGACCTAAAGAGACGTCAGTCTGGCGGCTCTGTCCACATCTTCCCTCCCCTGGTAGTACACCTAGTATGTTGTGACTGCTTGACTAACGGTCCTAGTGGCGAGGGTTATCACTTCCCTGCCGGCCCACAAGCCTGCTATGGCTGGGCGCTGGCACGTTTGGCTCGTGTCTTCCTCGGTCCCTTCCAGGCAGCCTCGTGTGCACACCGGTGCTAAAGAGCGGTGCGCGCAGTAGGGCAGCGCTGTATGCGTGCCATGGGTTTCAACACGTGTTCCCGCTAGGGCCGTCCTGGCAGGGGCGGGGGCGGGCGCTGGCTAGGGGTGTCGGACGGGTGTCGGGCGTGTGCAGCCGAGGCCGTCAGCAGCGGCTGCCCCCTCCCTGTGTCCTCCCCCAGCTGGTGTATATGGGCTTTGACGCGGCAGCAGCCGACGCTGCCTTGAGAGTGTTCAGGGGGAACGTCCAGCTGGCAGCTCAGACCCTCGCCCACAACGGAGGAAGCCTTCCTCCTGACGTGCATCTCTCCCTGGAAGGCTGTTCGTCGACACCATCCACGTCCCCTTCCGACTCCGCAGGTAGGTCTGAGGTCTCGAATGCCGACTTGAGAGAGGCCTGCTAACCGGAAGCTGACGGGGGAGGGGCGTGACGAGCTGGCGTGGGGACTGACGCGCCTCCTGGGCGTAGGCCCTGGTCTGCGCTGTGGGCTGCCCGGAGGGCGCGGCCGGGCTTTGTGGAAGTCGCTGGGGGTCCCTTCCAACTTTCTGTGGCATTTTGTCCTTTTTCTCCTCTTCCCCCTCACCTCAGCTGTTCCCACACCCCTCTGTTGCAGGTGCCTCTAGTGCCTCAACAGATGAAGATATGGAGACAGAAGCGGTCAATGAAATATTGGAAGATATTCCAGAACATGAAGAAGATTATCTTGACTCAACGCTGGAAGATGAAGAAATTATTATCGCAGAGTACTTATCCTATGTAGAAAATATAAAGTCAGCAACAAAAACGGAATGATGGGCAGAAATAAGTACTGAGTTTCTGCTTATAAATTCTATCATCATGAAAAGCCCAGTGCAGGTCGTCTTTTTTTCCTTCTTCTTATCTGATTTTGCTCCAAGAGTGCTTCCTCCTTGGGCACAGGAGGGGCGGGCAGGGAACGGGCCAGCGGTGAAGGTGAGAGGAGACTGGGGGGGTGGGGGGGAGCCTCCGGATCTATTTCCTCTTCATCTTGCCCGGCTCCCCTGCCCTCCTCCGCTCACTGCTGCTCTCTCTTCCTTCTTCCCACCATGCAGCTCTGCCTTTCAGCTTCAGCCTCGCTGCCCCGTCGCTAAAACGTCCTTAAAGTCTTCAGCCGATCCAAGTGCCCTGGGGACCTAGGGAGGAGGCATCCCCTCCAGTAGCCATACCGCATTGTGGCAGACTGAAAGCTCGGGTTCTGTGCTCTTCGTTTAGTAAAATATGCACTTGTAATTCAAGGTTGAAGTTGAGAATTTATAGACGTGCAAAATTCTTCTCTACAAAAATGAAATCCTTTTATTAAACAGGAAAGTCCTTAAATGCTGACCAAAGCACCTTATTTTTCATTAGCACTTTCAGATGCTGCGCTGTCCTATTAAACTCACTGCCGGCTGAGATACCTATCGGAGATTATTAAGATATATTTTCTCCAGGTTTGTGGGTTTCTTTGGTGTATCTGTGTTACAGAAGACTGTTTCCAAATGTACGTAGCTGGCCTCTTAACGGCTCACGTGTCCACTCTCGGTGCACCGCACATTCCCCTGTAGGTGTGTGTTAAATGAAAACCCGTCCCAGCACTAGGACACAGCTGGCAGCAGCCGTGCCAGATGTGTTCCTGAGCCTCTTCTCTTCCTGCCCTTCCGGAAGTCTCTGGAAGCGCCTGTGACCATCGAGGGCAGATGGGTCACATCACTGCCATCGACGGGCTGGGGGAAGTGCTTCAACTGTTTCACTAACCATTTTCACAGAGCTTCAACAGCCGTCCAGTTTGGGTGGGTGGGTGGGAATCTTTTCTGTCCTTCTTTTCAAATGGATGATACGGTTGGAAATAAAAGGTGGAAAAGGCATTCAAAAATCGTCAGCCTAACTTTGCAATAAGTTGCTCAAACTCCCTATGCTGCCCTACGTGCTGAAAACGCCTGGGTGGTCTGGAGTTTCCTTTAGACTCCAGGTGCTTGCTGCCATCGATGTCCTCTAAAAAGATGGGACGTCCACAGCAGGGCAGAAGCTGACGGTGGGGACGACGACGACACGGGGGAGGGGAGTTTGGGCTGTCAGGGTCGAGTGGCCAACGACTAAGATGAGGAGGTCTCTCAGCCTCGCCTGAGACCGTGTCTCACTCGGATTTCGGGTCTGAATTGCAGCTTTTAGCCAATCACTGTTGTGGGCTTGGGCCAGGCATGGCTTCTAGCTTCCCAAGGGCTCTTTTAATGGTCATAAATGGGCTAGGGAAGCAGAGTCACGCGAGCAGGGCTCAGACGCGGCTTCATTTTCTCGTGAAGAGACGCACAGAAGCCAGTTCTCGAGTGAGGGACCGTCCTGGGTACATACCACGTAAGGAGGGCGGCCCGTCCGGACTTGGGAGACAGGCTCCGGTCCTGGCTTTGCCTCCAGCTGGTGGTGTGAAACGAGACACAAAGTGACTGAGTGCCACTCCCCACTCTGGAGGGCAAGAGAAGCCACAAAGGACGCTTGTGATGAAAATTTGCCCCCAAGTCTTTAAGGAGTATGGCGAGGCTGAGTCACAGAGGAGGGAGGCTTTGGCGGAGGCTCTCCCTGGAGAGTCCGAGGAGAAGGGAGAACATTCCAGACCTGGGGCCAATGAGGAGGCAGCACAGGCCAAGTGCGCCACATTCGTGAGGTTACAGCCGTTCTAGACCCACCAGAGGATGGACTGGGGGCAGAGAGTGAGGGTGGAGGGACTGCCGAGTGCAGCCACAGAGCGCCCTGAAAGGCGGGCAGGGGGTCCAGATTTGAGTGGCCGAATACGCGGGCCATTAGGGGTTCGAGAACTCCGGGCAGCAGTGGATGCAGGTGCGTGTCCGCTAGACGTGCCACCCTCACCACATCCGACGCTCATCCTTCTCCAGTGAAATGCCACCTGCTCTTGGCTTTGGTGAGCCGGGTCCTGACCCTATTCCTGCCCATGTCCCTAAGTACTTCTGTTCTTCCCTATTCAGCATTATTTATCAAAGGCAGAGAATACCTGGTTATCTGGTCTTTACATCCTCAATGTCTCGAGCAAAGGCTTGTGTGTTGTAGAAACAAATTCCTTGAGCATATTCTGCTACGTAAATACAAAACGACAGTTTTCCGTTTCCTGCTCTCTTCCCGGAGAGGCAGGCGGGAGAACAAAAAATGCGGCAGCTCCTGTTTTCCCATCTGCACCCAGCGGCTGTTTCTCCGGGGATATCACAGCTTGTGTGTTCCAGTCTCTGTTGTGGTTGGACGGGACGGGGGACCTGAGATGACGCAGGAACACGGCATCGGCTGTGCCACCGGGGAGCGTCTGGTCACTCGAGCTGCCTCTCTGCCAGCGACGCAGAGATCCCGGCGCAGGTACTCGAGGTGGTCCGTCTCCCCGTCCTCCCTTGAAATGCACCTCAGCTCCCTGGCAAGCTCCCATGGCCGGCAGGCCCCTGCAGCCGCAGCGGCGGCACCGAGAAGGGCTAGGGAGCGAGGGCTCCCAGACAGTGGGCAGAACGCGCCGAGCCCCACGCCAGACCGCAGGGAAGGGACCCTCCTCCCTTCACGCAGAGCGGGAGCTCCGAAGCAGGGGTGACGCGTCCCTGTTGCCACCTAGACAGGCTGAAGAGCCGGGTCCTCGCCCTCTGGCCTCTCCCCGCGCGAGTGACACCGTAGGGGCCATCAGGCCTCAGCCCCTCACGTCGCCCCGGAGGAGGGGCAGGCCCAGGCCGGGTGCGTGAGCCCCCTGGTTCCGGGAACCCCTCCTCCTCCTGAGAGGAAGCCGAGAGTTTGCGGAACAAAAGACATATTTCAGGGCGCTTTGAAAGACGTGTATTTCGGTTCTTCGCGAGTGTCCTCCAGACAGTTTGCCAAACTAATGACAATTGCGGCTCGGTGGCTTTTTGAAGAAATCCCCGTTTCCTCCCAGGAAAGGCTTGGCTTCTGGGACCTCTGCGGGGCCGCAGGCTCTGGGTCGGGAGGGTCCCGCGGGCCAGAGGCGCAGACCTGAGGGAAGGGGCCACTCGGCCGGGGGCGCGGGGGGGGGGGGCGGGGGGGGCCGGGTTGGGGGGGGGGGGGGGGGCGGAGGAGACTCTGTCCCCGAGAGCGAGCACGGTCCCCCTCCACGGGACGGGGCTGCCAAAGTCCACGGACACGGACGGGCAAAGCCCACTGCCCAGGTCGCGGGCGGGGGTCCGTCGGTCCGCCGGCGGGTGGGTCTCGGGCGCTCAGGCCGGCTGCAGGGGCGCGGCGGCCCCG